TACGTCATCCTCCCGGAACTGCTTCTGTGTACAACTGCTGGCGCAAGCTACATTAAAGTGATTATTACGTTTTGAATATGGATATTTTTCTTACAAAAACGCATCGATTCGCTACAGGAGGCCTTTGTTCACCCCCCGGAGCTGTGTGAGACACTATTTTTTATGGATGGGCGCTTTTTATTTAACTTCTTTTGGACTGATGCATGCAACACCCGCTGAGTGGCATGAAACAGCTTGAAAGATCAAAGACAATTTTTAATATAACTCCGACTGGATTCGTCTGAAAGAAGAAAGTCATATACACCTAGGATGACTTGAGGATGAGTAATTCATGGGCTAATTTTCATTTTTGGGTGAACTAACCCTTTAACACCAAAATGTAATATATAGGTAAAAATTAATGTTTTTAATGTAACCTTCTCCCTTTAAATACTTATAGTAGTCAGTTATAATAATTGAAGAATAATTTTAGCAATTTTATATTATTTATTTGAAAGAATTAAAAGAACAGTTTTATGTCTATCCTTGTATTGTTCAATTGGTCGAGGTTGATATGGGATTTAGAAAGTAATTAGTAATAAGTAGTGCAATACCTTTTTAGAAAGAGTAAGCACTACAGTAATCTTATAACAATGTTGAATATGTAATTAGTACATTGTAATTAATTACTTTTTAAAGTAACTTACCCAACATTGAATGTTAAAGTCTTTGTACATAAATGTGGTATTATATTGAATATATCCAAGCCCCATAAATATTCAATTTTTAAGGGAAACGTCCCTCACAAAGTGACAGCAGCCCTGGAGGAGACGATGTGTCTCCCAGTGTGTCTGATGAGGCGCGCTTGGACAGAACGGACCACTGGCCTGTCATGGAGAAGAAAGGGAGCTGCAAGTATCTCGGCTGTAAAGGGATCGTCCGAATCAAGTGCAGCAAGTGTGACGTACACCTGTGCATCACATCAGAAAGAAACTGCTTCCTGGAGTTTCATAAGATGAAGTGAGTAGGACAGACACTCACGGATAAATGTTTGTTGTTCTTGCACAGTATGAAGTATTTCTTAAGGGATTAAACTGAAATTCTAATTTTATCACAAAATGAAAAATAAAAGTTTGCACACCTGTATTAAAGCAATAAGCCCCGTGAAGCCGTGGTTTACAGTGAATTTATGACAGCTAAGGGGCATTGTTAGGTACGACGCGAAGAGGAGTGCATAAAACCCCTTTAGCTGTTATAAATTCACTGTAAACCACAGCTTCACGGGGCTTATTGGTTGTATAAAACGGTTATTCCATATACGTAGTAAGGTTTCACAGAATAACACAGAGCAAGTAAAGTGCAATGATATTAATAAAAACATTATTCTTCCACCAAACAATGTAGTTCCTCAGAAACAGTTGTGGTTGCAACAAAGTGGTTGCCGAGCAACACACAAAAGTAAATAAAGGTGTATGTTTGCATAACAGCTTCGAATGCGGCTCAACCAATCAGAATCAAGGACCGGAACTCTCCGTTTTATCATTTTGTTTTAAGTTTTGTTTGAACTCCTTTTACAATTGTTTGACAATTATGTATGTACGGTACCATACAGTAGCAGACAAGGCAGTTATTGGGCACAATCATATATGTCATTTAATGAAAGACTCTGTTTTGGAGATTTAAAACAAAGAAATTTGTTAAAAATAAATAACACTGACACAAAAAAATATTGATGGATAAATCATTATTTGGGGGCTCGTCCGGGATTTGAACCCAGGAATCAATACACCTAGTAATTCACTCAGTTTGAGTTTTGTAGGATGCTGTGTTTTGCAAAAGTATAAATATATTAATTACACAAACAAATGAATTTATTTAGAAGAGCATAGAATAAAATTATGGGAATCATTGTGGCTCAAAGTTTCCATATAAGAGCATTTAGGGTGAAAACTGTTAAGTCTGCTTGAAACACTGTTATTTTATTTATTATTATACTATTTACTAATATTATTATTTTAATAATAATATAATAATAATAAAATGTTTATATATATATATATTTTTTTAATTTTAGTCTAAGTTGGAGTAAGTTTTTGTTTGCTTTTTGTGTATTTTTAAATATTTCTATTTAGCTTTAATTTATTTTTATTTCAATTTAGTTTTAGTAATTATAGTACTTCAACTTTAACTTATTTTATTTTGGTTTATTTCTAATTTTCATTAGTTTTTTATGTTTTTCATATAATATTAATATTTTATTTTAATTCAGCTTTGATCATATTTCAAAAGTAAAATATTTCAGTTAACAAAAACAAATTTTAATGGATTTAGTTTTAGTTAACAGTAGCTGCGTTTACATGGACCCTACTAATCTGATCTTAATAGGACTAGAAGCACAATCAGAATAAAAAAAGTCACATGTAAACACGTCAATCGGATTGAATTGGCCAGATCCAACTAAAATTTCGATCGGATTGTAAGGGGTGGTTTATTCCTTTTGTAATCCGAGCGAGAGGACATGTAAACACTTGATCGGATTGAAAACCGAAACTGGAAATTACTGCGCATGCGCAGTGACGTAGAAATAGCGTAATGACGTATGACGCGCGAACCGAGCTGTTCTTCCTGGTGAATAAAGTGTCATAAATGAGTGTCCAGTCATTATAAAACTCCCCTTTCACTCAGCGTCTGTGAAATGGCGCAGGACAACGTCCCACCAGTCATTGTTTAAGACTCTCATCAACAGATGACTGGTTTTGGGTGCAGGAAGGGGCACTTTTACTGCTTTATAAAGTAAGCAGCACTGCACAACAGTTCATGGGCTGGTCGTCGTCTAATTAGGACCCGAAGTAAATAAATATCACGTGTGCTTTTTAAAACAGTATGCGACAACAGCGGGAAACTCTGTATATTCATGCAGTGTGCGCATGTCAAAAGATTAAATCCGATCAGAAGCTTGTGACATATAAACATGCATATCAACTCGATCACTTTATTTAGCGTTCATGTAAACACTACGTTTGGATTCGTCAATCAGAATGAATTCATTCCGATGGAAGCAAAAAGTGTCCATGTAAACGTACCTAGTAACAACACTCACTGGCTTAAAAGTGCTCACAATCAGAGAAAAGCAATCCAGAATAATTTACAAGAGTGACATTTAATTTCACAGTTGCACAATTATCCAAGATGAATGTAAAATATTTGCAGAGAAAAAATCAAATACGAACAGAAATATGAGATAAAAGAACTATGGCTCATGAAAACATAAATACAGTTGAACCATTGAACAATCACATTCCCCCAAGTCAAAGCAGGCTATCCTCATGTATACAGTGTTCGGGTACTGATGTGTGGATCTGACATGTTGCTATGTGTTTTTTCTGGGTGATTGGATGGTTTCTTTCTGGTCCAAGTCAAGACAGTCCACATTAATGGCACTTTTCCACTGCATGGTACGGTACAGCACGGCACGGTACGGTTCACTTTTGGAGGGTTTTCCACTGGGTACAGTACCTGGTACCTGGTACTTTTTTTAATACTACCTCGGTTGGGGTTCCAAGTGAACCGTACCATTACCAAAACGTGACGTGTAAACTCTGCTGATCACTGATTGGCCGGAGAGAATCGTCACTACCTGCGTCACTGAACTTACGACACAGAGACACAACAGAACCTCTGGATTTATATCAGCACAGCCAGCGAAGGATCGAACGCAACTGTTTTGAACGAGCGCACCTTTTTTTAACAACCAAAAAATGGCTGTTTCGTGGTCTGTTGAAGAAGTACAGATGTTCCTCTTGTTGGTAGCAGAGGAGCGGATCCAGCGAGAGCTTGATGGGGCGACGCGGAATGAAAACGTTTTTTTTAGGAGTCGTGGTAG